AAATACTTGGGGAGACCAAGGTGGGAGGATCACTTGAGGCCAGGAGTTAGAGGCTGCAGTAAGCTATGACTGTGCCTGTGAACAGCCACTGCACTCCAGCCTAGGCAACACAGTGAGACTCCAGCTCTAAAAAAAAGTAAAAATTAAAAAACAACTTTTTCTAATACTTCTGCAAGGACATCTGCCCAGCAACTGCCTGCCTAACCTCATACTGGCATCATCCTTGTTATTGATCTTTGAAACCAGGGATAATTATTTCAAAACAATTATGTAATCCTTACTTTTTTTCCTTTAAAAAATTTTTGTCTTCTTTTACCTCCCTAAGCACATAATTTACTATGGCACGTGTATTCCCACTTCAATGCTCTATTCCCAAATATATACCACTTCTTATAGAGAGCCTTGCTCTGTTTGTTATTTAGGTTGACAAATGGGAAGTCACTGGAGAGTTTGTTTCGGTTTTGTAAAATTTCTTATTTTATTCTGCATACATAACCCAGGTACATGAATCAAAATTCCAAAGGTATATAAGGTCATACAGAGAAACAAAAGTCTCCCTCCCACCCTGTCCACCAGCCACGGAGTACCCTGTCCCTAGATACAACCACTTTATCAGTTTTTGAAGAGTTTTAAGCAGGATAGAACATAAGAACATGGTCTGATAATGTTACATATGTCACCCTGGCTGACAGGTGGAGGATGAGTGGGAAGGACAGACGCAGGGACCAGCTGAAGGCGGCTATGGTGTCCAAGGACGAAATGACGGCTGCTGGGACCCAGGCGGTGATAGTGGAGATAAGGGTAGAATTGACGAAACTGATGTTAGCAAGACAGCATTAATGACTACAGCTATAGGCATTGTTATTAATACACTTAGAATCTACAGGTCTAGTATCTCAGAGCTCAATGAATACGTATACAGATAATGGGTAAGAGAACAACGGATAACAACACAAAAATAAATTACTAAAATGTGATTTTAACAATTTAATAATAATGAACTTACCCTGTCAGTATGAATTAGATTTTATCTCAGAAATGGCATATCTGAAACCAACCCAAAACTGTATTACTGCAGCTAAGGGGCTGAAATGGCAGCTGTTTAAAAAAGAAAAATCCAAAACTGAGGTCTTTAACCTATTGCTATTAATCACCACGTAACAGAAAAGAAGGCTAAAGTCTTCTCAAAAGAAGTTTGGAGTAAAACATCACACCTATGCAAAGTATTTCCTTCTATTCTGACAACTTAAAATGTATCAGAAAATTCTCACCAAATCACAGTATAAGAAAAAAATATCATTAATGGACAAAATTTTTCTGCTGAATGTTCATTAAAAAGCAGTCATATCTTGTTGAAAAAACTATAGTACATCCACAAAAAGGAGCACTGTGCAACTACAAGAAGGAATGAGAACCATCTATATCATACTATGGAGTAAATGTTAAGTGAAAAAACCATGGTAGAAAACGATGTATAGTATCCTACCACCTATCTAATAAAGAGAAGGTATGACTATAACCACAAAATTAAAAATTAAAAAGGTTATCTATGGAAAAGGGAGGGAACAGGGTGAAGGGGACAGGGATAGAAAGAAACAAGATTTCTTTGAATTTACTGTACCTTGTTTTATAGGTATGACTTTGAAAGTCTTTTAATATTTTATATAATTAAATAAAATTAAATTTCTTAAAAGCAATCCCTAAATACTGCAAGCAAAGAACAAAAGAACCAAACTATACATCCAGTGGTGGCAAAAACATACAATAACTATTCTAAGTGACTTTAAAACACAGTAATGTGATTACATACCCCTAAAAAGGATGCAAAAAAAAAAAAAAACCTCAAATACTTTTCATTAGTAGTAGTTTTCATTTCTTCTGAGAATGAAAAGTATACAGTGTGGGATGAAATAATGAGTAATTAGAACCAACATGTTTGGCTTAGGAGAAAAAAAGATACAGGTGTAAGACTGAGAAGGTTAAGTAGTCTAGTCTTGCTTTTGAACTAGAAGTATCAGTAACTCATCATCTGTGCACTAAAAAGACCCAGAAACAATGATTAACCTAGTAGCAATGACCAACCCCAAGGCCCAGATTGTGTTTTCCAAATAATACCATTTTCCATTAAAAGAAACCAAGGCCTTTAGGGGAATGGATGCTTCCAGGGCTGGGAAAGAAAACATACAAGATAAGTCTGGTGCAATTTATCATACCAGAAAGAAGAGCGACCAAAGTATTAAGAATTGTGTTTAATGAATTTAGGAACCAATTTGAACATATTCCTATTGGAGAAAGATGAGACAATCTGAGCATCAATAAGGATAACATCTGCAATGGAGTCAAACATCAAATATGTTTAAGTACATGAGCTCAAAAGGACAAAAATGCATACACACAATTCATTGGTTACTTTTCAAGGACTAGTACTAGGGAAGCAATCCATTACTTTGAAACCTAGTAAATAATGGACAGGAGTTAAGCATTTATCCTGCCTTTCCTATAAAAACGACACAATACTTCAAGGTAACCAAATAGTGGATGAAGGGAAAATTCTCTTTACAAGAGTATTCCATCTAATAAATGGTGAAGTTATAGAATTAAAATATCAACATTTTCAATGCCTAATGAAATGACTCTCTAGGCATTGAGCATCAAGGGCTGCTAATGAGAAAGACTAGTAATCATTATCTGCCTACTTACCTATGAAGTCTTCTTGCCCAAAATAAATGAAACCTGAATCTGATCCCACCTTTAGATTTAATCACCAGTTTACAGTATATTCTATATTGTTAACTGTATTGTTAAATTACAATACAGAATAAAATGCAGACTGTGCATAACTTCATAGGACAGACTACCAGGTTTCATCAACTAAATTAGAAAACAAAACATGGAGGGGGAACCTACAGATTAAAACTAGTCACAATGTACAGACAGCATTTGGATCCTAATTCAAACTGTTTAAAAAAAATTATGAGACAAGAATTTTTTTTTTCCTAAGACAGAAGGTTATGTTGTCCAAGTTACACATGAATTCCTGGGCTCAAGCAATACAATCAAGAAAATTTTAACACTGGCTTGGTATCATTCACTTTTTGTGACAGTGGTATTCGTGTTTACCTTTTTTAAAAAGCTTTAAGATATACATACTGAAATATTTAATGGTTAAAATGATATGACATCTGGGATTGAGGGGTATAGATGAAGCAAAATTGGCTATGAATTAGTAACTGCTGAAACTGGATGAGGGTAAATAGGAATTTATCTATTATCTATTTTACTATTCCTTGTACACGTGTGTGTATGTGAAGAGTTGAACATGGAAGGTAGGAAGAGAAGAAGGGCAGTCAACTTAACTCTAATTTTCGAGTAATAAAAATACCTTGCTATCTTTCATTTCAGTATTTACTTTTCTGATTCAATACATGAAAGAAGTAAAAACTAATAAATGATCTAAAGAAACAGGTTTTATGGTAAAATCAATAACACCTAACTGAACACCAAACAAAACCCTTTCAGCATCAGATAACATCAAAAGAATTAAAGGAGAAAATGACCAGCTTATATTAATATAGATTATATTTTAATAATAGAAGGGAAACTATCCCACAGTTTGTGGAGACTGGCTAGAATTTAGATTTCACATCATTCCCTGAGTCTCTGTAAGTCTAAAACCTAAACACACAAGTAGTAAACAAATCATACCAGCTGCATCGCTGTAAACCACATCAAAACTGCAAAACGCAGTTCTGACTGCTAAAACCATTCACTTCCTTAAAAAACAACTTTCCTATTCTACTTCCTCACAGTCAGAATCAAAGGAATACTTTATAATTTACATAGCACAGGCATTTGTTCAGTAAAGATTCCAATTTTTACAATCCCACACTCATACAATTCACCCCTTGCCTGAAATGCCCTCCCCTCTTTGATACCTGTCCCGGTTTGTTTTCATTGAGGGCCTCAACTCATACATGTTTTGCAAAAGAGAAAAAGTGAACCTTTTAGCATTCTATTTCCTATCCTCACTAAAAATCATTTTTCACACACAAAAAAATCTTTCCTTTCTGTAACTTACCAGCAACGCATACAGCTGGCAGCTATATTTTTGGCCTTTGGGGATATGACAAGAGCTTTTAGTCATTTTAGCCATAAAATTATACGGTCAAACCAATAGCAGTTACAGGTGAAACAAAATATTACTTCAATGTGGTTATGCCTAAAGTGGACACAAATCATCTACCAAATACGTTGAGCCATGAATTACGAGAGCAAAAATAAAAATAACTGTTTTAGGGAGAAGCTTTCTGACGTCTCCCAAAATGAGAAAATAAATCAAGAAAAGAGGTAGGACAAAGATGATCAACAGCACCACCTCTAATAAAGTTCCAGAACTATCTCATCACCATCCGCAGGCAAATTCGGCTTTTCTCTTTTGCCAGCTGTTCTTCTTAAAAACAAGAGCCATCAAGCAGGGTCCAGATGCATCTGCACACAAATCCTGGAGCCGCCAGCGCTCCAGGCCACAGATGGGGGACCACTACCAGCACAATGCTGATCCAACGTCCGGTCGGGATCCTCAGTTTCCACACGGACCCCTGAGGCCCACAAGCCTGCCCAGAAACGAGCTGCCCGGGCCGCTTCCACGAAGAAGCCCACGACCCTGAGGCCCGGTCCTGGCAGAGAGTGTGCAGCGCCTTCGGCCCCTCTGCACACAGTGCGGGCCTACGGCGACCACGGGGACCCCTCCCAGACGCCCTCCGAGCCGCAGCGGCCTCCGCGCGCCGCCCCCGCCCTCCGTGCTGTCGGAGGGCGCAGCCAGGCCCCGTGGCCCACGCCCGCCCGCAGCCTCCGCCCAGCTCCCCACGCCACTCGCCCCGCGGCCCGGCCGCCGCGACTCCGCCGCCCCGACCCCAGCCCGACCCGGAGCCCCTGGCCGCCGCGCGAGACGCCCGCTCCCGCCCCAGACTCCTGCCGCCGCCCTCGCCCGCCGGCCTCACCTCAGAGACCAATGGTGCGCAGCGCACGGAGTGCCCGGGTCCGAGTGAGGCCGCCGCCCGTCAGCTCGGGCTCGGACTCCAGCTCTGGCTCCGCCCCCTGTCCGCCGCGCGCCGGGCCTCTCCGCCCCCTCAGCCCTCGGCGCTCGCCCCCGCCGCCAGAGCTGGGTGCGGCCTACGCCGTGGCAGCCCAACAACGCGCCGCCCCATAGGTCGGGCGCGCGCTGCCACGCCGAGCAACGATCCCTGCGATTGGCCGGATCTGAGTGGCGGGGCCTCTGATGGAAGGGCGGGGCCTACTACTTCCCGGGTCCGCTGGGCCCGCCTCCGTGTGCTGGAGACCTACGGACGGCGAGTCGTGGCCTCACAGGCCTCGTCGCCGAAGCAGGCCTGGGCTGCTCAGCCGGCCCCGCCTCCCTGTCGCCAGAACCGCTCGATACTCTGTTTGTGACCGGTGGCACGTCTGTGGAGGCCCACTGCGGCCAGGCGCCGGGATGCTCAGGAAGGCGTACCAAACGGCCCCGTTGTAGGCCAGTTCTAGGCCACAGAGGCTGTCCGAGCCGGGGTCAGTAGGGAGGCAAGGGCATGCAGGTCCGGAACCCAGAAGCCGAGCCCGCACTGCCCGCCTTGCCCACTCTTCCAGCGAACGGACCCTGCCCCCGTGCGGGTTGCATGTCCCCAGGCAGAGTTTTGGGGCCGGGATGGCAGCCAGGGTGGGATCAAGACAGCGGGGCCTGTGGGCCCTGATAAGGCTCCCCAGACAGGATAACTGCCTGGCACCTGGAGCCCGGCCTGCTGAATGCTGAATGAACCAGCACCAGGCACCTTCGCAGAACCAGGGAATAAGTCTAGACGGGAGCGCTGGCAGGAGCAGGCTACCTACCAATGACCTGGAGGGTAGCCTAAGAGACCAGCAATGTCCTGCACATTGTTCCTCCTGTTGTCTCATCTGAGACCAAAAAAGTCCAGGGGAGACAGACGGACAAGGCTGCTTGTTCTCTTCATACCCATATAAAGCTAAGGTCCAGAGGTGGGCCAGGGCACAATAGTGTGGAATCCAGGCCTCCCTCCCAGGAGCCTCTTTGACATTGCTCCTAGAACGGTCAGGAATATATTGTCAGTCGATGAGAGTCAGTGACTCCTGTTCTAAGGTCACTCATGAATGTTGGCTTTTTTCAGATGACTTTCTGACAAGACCACAATGCTGTCTCATTCACTAGTTTCCCATCGTTAATCTCTAAGAAAATGCAAATCAAAGCCACCAGGAGGGCTATTGTTGGAGGAGGAAGAAAATAAGCGTTGGCAAGCAAGGATGTGGATAAACTGGAGCCCTTGTGCACTGCTGGTGGTAATGCAAAATGGTGCAGCAGCTATGGAAAACAGTGTGGTGGTTCCTCAAAAAATTAAACGTAATTACTACATGATCCAGCAATTCTACTTCTGGGTATATACCTAAAAAAACGAAAACAGGGACTCAGTTATTTGTAACATATGTGTTCATAGCAACATTATTCACGATAGCCAAAAGGTGGAAGCAAACCTACTGCTGTCCATCGATGGATGAACTGATAAACAAAATGTGGTACAGTATATACATACAATGGAACAGTATTCAGCCTTAAAAAGGAAGGAAATTATGACATATGCTACAACATGGATGAACACTGAAGACATCACGCTGAGTGAAATAAGCCACGAAAGGGTAAATGTTCCACTTTTATGAGGTGCTTAGAGTAGTCAAATTCATAGAGACAGAAGGTAGAATGGTGGATGTCAAGGGCTGAAGGAAGTGGGGAAGGCAGAGTTAATGTTTAATGGGTACAGAGTTTCAGATGATGAAAAAAGTTCTGGGGATGGATGGTGATGATCGTTGCACATCAATGTGAATGTACATAAAGCCACACTTTAAAAATGTATAAATAGGTAAATGTATAAAATGGTGATTTCATATTATATAGATTTTACCATAATGAAAAATTGTAATGCTATTAAAATACACCTTCATTTAACAACTACAAAAAGGAAGAAAATACTGTCTTGGGTGGGGTTTAAAAAAAAGAACAAGTTTGAGACCATCCTGGGCAACATAGCAAGACCCCATCTCTACAAAAGAATTTTTAATTAGCCAGGCCTGATGGTGGGTACCTGTAGTCCCAGCTACTCAGGAGGCTGAGGTGGGAGGATTGCTTGAGCCCAGGAGTTCAAGGTTGCAGTGAGCTATGATCACACCACTGCACTCCAGCCTGGGCAACAGAGGGAGACCTGTCTCTTAAAAAAAAAAAAAAACTTGAATTAGATATATACAATAATAACATCAAGCAATGAGGAAGATAAATGAAGTTAAAGTCATTTGAGGTGCTTATGTTGTCCAGGAGGAAGGTAAAAGTATTTATTAGTCAACTCTAGGCTTAGATAAAAATGGAAATAGGGTGTATAACTTTCGAACTAGGAGAAGGGGGAAAATGGAATGACTTTTTAAAGTTGCTCAGTCCAAAAGAAGGAAAAAAAGGAGAAAAAGAAACAAACATAGGTAAAACAATACAAAGCATAAGATGGTAAATTTAGTCACATTAAATACAAATGGACAAAATGCTTCAGTTAAAAGACAAGGTATGTTTTTATATGCTATTAACAAAAAAATGAAAACTTTATTTATTTATTTGTTTGTTTTTAGAAATGGGGTCTCACTCTGTCGCCAAGGCTGGAGCACAGTGGCTTGATGATAGCTCACTGCAGCCTTGAACTCCTGGCCTCAAGTGATCCTCCTGTCTCAGCCTCCCATGTAGCTGAGACTACAGGCTTGAGCTACCAAGCACAGCAAATTTTCTTATTTTTTTAGAGATGAGTCACGCTATGTTGCTCAGGCTGGTCTCCAACTCCTGGCCTAAGTGATTCTCCCAACTTGGCCTCCCAAGTCACTGGAATTACAGGCATGAGCCAGAGCCCCGCTCAAAAAAATGAAATTAAGAAAATATGCAGTTTGCAATAGAATAAAAGAAACATGAAGTATGTACAAATCAAGCTTAACAAGACCAGGTGCAATGGCTCACCTCTGTAATCCCAGCACTTTGGGAGGTCGAGCAGGAGGATCACTTGAGGCCAGGAGTTGGAGACCAGCCTGGGCAAGATACTGAGACCCCTGTGTCTACACAAAAAATTTTTAAAAATTAGCCAGGCATGGTGGCACATACCTGTAGTCCTAGCTACTTGGAAGGGTAAGGTGGGAGGGTCACCTGAGCCCAGGAGTTCAAGGTTACAGTGAGCTATGATTACACCACTGCACTCCAGCCTGGGTGACAGAGTGAGACCTTGTCTCTAAAAAAAATTTTTTTAACAAAAAAAGTAAAAACTTAACAAAAGCTGAGCAAGACCACAATGGACAAAATTATAGAATCCTACTAGCAAACCTTAAAGAAAACCCAAATGAATAGAGAGGTAGACAATGTTCATGAATCAGAAAACTCAATATTATAAACGTCAATTTTCCCCAAACTGATTTATAGCTATAATGAATTCCCAATCAAAATACCAGCTGAGTGACTGTTATTGGCACTGACAAGCCCATTTTAAAACTTATCTGGGAGAAAAAATTTACACAGAAATACAAAGAGCCAGAATAGGTAGGACACTTTCAAAAAGAAAAATAAGATAAAAGGATCAGATATCAATACTTGATTGATAATAATGAAGATAGCTTTGTATTGGCACAGGGTAGACAGACCAATGGAAAAGAACAAGGAATCTATCAACACACCTACATATATGTGAATATATGACAAAGGTAACATTGCAGATAGGCAGGAAAAGGACAGATTATAAACGAATGATGCTAAGATACATGGGCAACCCTACAGGGAGAAAAAAATGAAACTGAATCCTTATCTCATGCCAGATGCATAAAACAATTCCAGGTGAATTAAAGGCCTAAATATAAAATAAAAAAGTATGCAGATTTCAGAATGTAAGAGAATGTCTTCATGATCTTGGAGTTGAATTTCTTAAACAAGTCACAAAGAACACTAACCAAAATGAAAACATTGATCAATTCAACTGTATTAAAAATAAGAACTGATCATCAGAAGATGCCAAAAATAAGCCAGATTTGGAGAAGATATCTGCAATACACATTACTGATAATATCAAAACTATATAAAGAATTCCTATAGATTAAAAAGAAAAAGAGAAACAACAAAACAAGTTTAAAAAATGGGCAAAAGACTTGAATAGACACTCACAGGAGACAAAATCAAAATGGTTAATAAATGTGAAAATGCACAATCTCATTAGTAATTAGCAAAATGCAAATTAAGGCTATATACACCCACCAGATTGGCAAAAAATGAAAAGTTTGACAATACCAAGTGTTGACAAGGATGTGGAGACAAAGGAATTCTGTTTTACTGCTGGTGGGCATGTAAACTAGAACAATATTTTTGGAAAATAGTGAAAGATCCTGATGCCAGGGTCCTGGGTCCATACCCTAGAAAAACTCCTTCATACATGCATCAGAGACATGGCTAGGAATGCTGCTAGCAGCATGGTCTGTAACTGCCCCAAACTGGATACAAACCAAATGTCCATTTACAGTAAAATGGATCTGGGAACTATGACATAGCCATACAATGGAACAGTTTTCAGCAGTGAACTTGAACAAACTAAGCTATGCCCAGCAACACGAATAAATCTCACCCACAAAAAGAAGCTGGATGCCAAGCTTGCATCTGTATGATTCCATCGATATAAAATACAAAACCAGAAAAATGCTGTGATGGATGCATAATTGGGTAGTGAAGGCTTTTTAGAAAAACAGGAGACTCACCAAAGCCAGGGCAGAGGAGGGAGTGGTGCCGTGATGGGGAGAGCGGTGTGTGTGCGGGCAAGGCTATTTCTTGATGGAGGTTGCACAGATGTTCACTTCATAACAATGTTAGGTTGTGCGTTTATATTTTATTCACTTTTCTGCATGTGTTTTATTCTTCAGGAAATGAAGGGAAAAAGGAGGTGCCTTAGCTCTCAGCAGCTCAGGGCACAGCCAGGGATGAAGCCTGACAGTGACACAAGGGCAGACAACCTCGAGTGGGTCTGAAGGAGGGTAGATGGGTTGGGGGTCTGCTCTTTGCCCATGGAATCTCCCTCCAGTGAGAGTGACCAGGAGATAGCTTGAAGGGGATCACGCACTTTGCCAAACACCTACAGGGGGTCACTGCGCCCTCTCCCCCAAGGACAGGAGTCCTCTGTGGACTGCCCCCTCATCAGGCAGTCTTTTCCAGGTGGGGGAACAGGACTCACAGGCAGAGACAGGGCAGGATATGTGTGAGGGTTCGATGTGCTGTATCACAGCCAGAGAGAGAGGCTGTGGCCCTCCCCTCACTTTCCTCCTCTAGAGACACATGGATTCGGTTCAAGTTTCAACTCTGCTCCATAATCCCTATGTGACTGTGGTGTCCTCTAGGTCTGTGGTCTCCAACCTCTGGGCCACGGACCAGTATCCATCCATGGCCTGTTAGGAACCAGGCAGCACAGCAGGAGGTGAGCAAGAGAAGCTTCATCTGCATTTACAGCCTATTTACAGCCGCTCCCCATTGCTGGCATCACCGCATAAGCTCTGCCTCCTATCAAATCAGCAGAGGAGCGCGAACCCTACTGTAAACTGCGCATGTGAGGGATCTAGGTTGTCTGTTCCTTATGAGAATCTAATGCCTGATGACTAAGGTGGAGCGGAGGCAGTGATGCTGAGGCGGTGATGCTAGTGCTGGGGAGCAGATGCAAATACATATTATCATTAGCAGAGAGGTTTGACTACACAATAAATGTAATGCACTTGAATCATCCCGAAACAACCCCCACCCCATGCCCCACCTCCGCGGAAAAATTGTCTTCCATGAAACCAGTCCCTGGTGCCAAAAAGGTTGGGGACCACTGCTCTAGGTCATCCCTCTCCAGGGCCTGAGTCACTCTCAAAAGCCTCTTTCTGTCTGTAAAATGGGGCTGGCCAGAGGCCTGCCCCAGCGGGTACTGAGCCTGAGCCCCAGCCTGCGGGGCAGGAAGCACCTCCCTGGAGTGCAGCCTGGCTTGGCCAGCAGGGGGCACGCCACACAATGGCGCCCAGAGTCCCAGGTGGGAACTGGGAGCTGCTTGGACCTCTGCGAGGTTTCTTCTAGTTCAGGGGTGGGGAGATGGGACCTCTTTTGCCGAGTATGGTGGCTCACGCCTGTCATCCTAGCACTTTGGGAGGCCTAGGGCAAGAGGATTGCTTGAGCTCAGGAGTTTCAAGTTGCAGTGAACTATGGTAACACCACTACACTGCACTCTAGCCAGGGTGACAGAGCAAGACTGTCTCCAAAAAAAAAAAAAAGACATCTTTTCATGATAAAAATCTTTATTAACAGAAGGCATAGGGGTTCACCACACTCTTTCAGATCAACTGAAAGGGAAGACCATGTTTCATCCTTGGCTTGGAGAAGCTTCCCATAAGTGTCTGGGGTCCTTTTCCCAAGCCCCGGGACCAAACCCACCTCTGGGGGGCTGGTCAGGGAACCCTCTCTGAGGCTCAGCTTCCCCACCTGTAAATGAGGAAGCAGGACTGTCTCCAGAGCAGGGAGAGGCCTCCAGTCCACCTGCCCTCAACACAGAGTGAGGCAGGGCAGTTCTGTTCCCCCAGAGCTGGAGGCCCCTGGCTGCGGGAGGACTCCCAAGATGCCTATCTGAGGCTGGGAGGGCTGGCGGAAAGATAGGCAGGGACAGGATCTGGGGCTCAGAGCAGTGAAGAACATGCCAGTGAGTGGCAGAACTGGGACTTGAACCCAGGCCTCCAAGCCTCAGCTCTCTCACCTGTAAAACGAGACTAAGCAGTTGTTTCTCCAAGCAAATTATGTCAAGTACCTAGCTTAGCACCTCGAATGCAGGAAATGCTCAGTAATGATAACCACAACCCCAAGCCCTCTATATGGAATGGAACATTCACAGTAGGTCTCAGGAGGCAGCAGGAACCCCTTACAGCCCCTCTTTCATGCTGCAGGACCATGGCCTGGGACCCCACCCATCACCCCCAAAACACATGTTCTTGCAACTGAGGCCCTGGCCCTAGGGTGGTTCACAAAGAGGTGGCAGCTGTGCCTGCAGGCCCAGGCTCTAGGTGTGGGGAGGGAGGGTAGGCCACACCTTGGGCTGGGCCTTTGGGCAGCCACAGACCTCAGCTGTCCAGTTGGTCAGAAAGACCTTACACCTGACTCTGGGCCTCAGGACCCCCAAACCTTCACACTGAGGGGTCTTCAAAAATGCTTTAGCCACTGAGCTGGTTCCAGGTCACTGTGCAGGTTAGATAAAAGCCATAGTGTCCTGTATCACCAGCTCGGCAGACCCCCAGGTACTGGCTGGAAACCGCTTCTCTGATCCAACCCCCCATTTTAAAATTTTATAGAAAAGGAAACCACAGCCACAGTGGAGAACAGTATGCGTCCCCGAGGGTCCCCAAGCAACTTCAGGTCAGACTGGCCAAAGAACTCCAGCTGTAGGGAGGAGGAACGGCTGGTTTTCCAGAGATAGTTCAGAACACCAGAATCTCCCTGTGCCCCAAACTCAACCGTGGTACACTGACCCCTCTCCCTGGGCAGGCTGAAGAGGAAACCCCTGCAGTGATGGTCTCAGACACCTGGTTCATGGAAGCAGATGGCTGCTGTCGTCCACAGGGTCTATAGTCCTACCGCACCCTACAGCCCCATGGGGCCATGGCCACCCACATCCACTGACTCACCTTTTCACCCCCGCTTCCTCCTGTAAACCACAGGCCCCCAGAATATACCCTGGGGAAGAGGGTCCAAATAAAAGGCCCTCTCCCAGGGACAGTCAGTCACTGGCTGATGGGCACAAGTGCTGTCCTAAGTTTGGGTTTCCCCAACATAAAATGGGGTGAAAATCACAATAATCCTGGTGTGCCTGCCACCTGACCCCCAGTTGAGTCTGTTTTCATGAAAAATCCAGCCTGGATGGCCGTGCCAGGGAGAGTGACCAGCTGGAATTACATGCCAGAAAGTAAGAAGTCCAATCAGGGCTGGGCCTGAGCCAGGTATCGCCCAGAGGACTTGGGCATCTGGGTACCACTGTCCCTAGCCACCCTTGGCCTGCTCGGGACCCACTCTTTCTGCCCCCACCACAGCTGTCACCTCCTCCAAGAAGTCTTCCTGGAACCCCCAACTAGGTCCAGCTCCTGGTCCCTGCAGACCCAGCTGTTCCCACACTGGGCTGTGAGCTTAGTCAGGACAGGGGCCTGCTCATAGCACATGCGCAGGCCTGGCACCAGGCCAGGCACACAGGAAGTGCTCAATAACTGTTTGTTAATGCTGTGAACAAACCAACTGTGGTCCCAGAGAGTTCAGCTCTGCAGCCCCATTGCCCCGGCCTGACCTGTGGCAGTAGAACTGGAGCTTGGGAGAATGGGCTCTGAGTCCAGACGGCCCAAGTTTGGGTCCTAACCTGTGACTCACTGTGTACCCTGGGCAAGTCAGTCGGCCACCTGTGCCCTGGAAGACAGGACAACCACCTCTTAGGGTTCCTGTAAGCTGTTGCAGTCACCATCTGAACATCGGTGTGGGCGCTCAGTAAAGCCAGTTCCCTTCCCCTTCCCAGTCAAGCCCTGGACACCAAGGCAGAGATCATCTCTGCTTTATCGGGAAGCAACAGCCCCTATTGGAGCCTGCATCTTAGTATTCCTGTGGGGTCTTAGGGCCAGCCCCGGCCCCCACCCAACTGCCTCAGCCCACGTCAGGGTAGGTGTGCCGGGGGACCAGACTCCTGTCCTCAAAGCCCAGGCTGGGTCCTGGGTTCCTGGGGGTGGGACAGGGCGAGGCCCAGTGAGGCCAGAGAGCCCACCAGCTCCCTGGAATGTGGGGCTTGGTCCAGCTGTGGGGACCCAGCCTGCTACGTGAGGCCCTGCAGATTCCATAAGGTGTCTGTTGGAGAGGCCCTGGGGCAAGCCCAGCCCTTGCTCCAGCTCTTCCTCCCATGCAGGCCAGTCTCCATCGGTGTGGCCTGGGGTCATGGCCCCCGTGACTGCCTCTGCCTGACAGCCATACGGGGCAGGCGTCACCTGGGCCCGGCGTAGCCATAGGGGTGCCGCAGCAGCAGACTCTGGTGACTAGGCAGCACGTGGGTGTGGTAGTGCTCCACCATGCTGCCCACGCTCACAAACAGGACCTCGCCTTCCAGGTAGAACTTGGAGTCCTGCGGGGGCAGGAGGGTGCGGGTCAATGGGGCCAGGCCAGTCCTCTGTGCCAAGCCTCTGTCTCCCTGCCCCGTGCCCTGTCTGTAAAATTAGTAGTCAGCAGTAACGATGACACAGTCAGGCCTGCTCCTGGCTGCCCAGTTTCACCCTGCATCTGCCTCCACATCGTGCCTGTGTTCTCCACGTTCCCCCCCAACATCCCCACCATCTCCAAGTGCCTGGCACATGGCCTGCACCCAGGGTACTGCAGGCAAGGTCTATGAATAAACCCAGAGTCTAAGGCTGACCCTCATCCCCTCTAGGGTCAGCTGAGGTCAAGGCTAGGCAAGGAGAGGAGAAGAAGAGGGAGGCTGGGGCAGGAGGGGGTGGGGGGCAAGCCAGGGTGAGGGAGGGGTAGTAGAGGGTGGGACTCTAGCCCATCTGCTACCTACACCTTATCAAGGCAATTCTGCCTTGTCAAGCCCCAGGGCTAGGGTCCCTGTCCCACCCTGAGCCCCCAGACTGGGCCCAGACCTCTCACCTTCTCGAAGATGCGGTAGTTCCTAACTTTGTTGGAGGTTTCATCCCACACAACCAAAACCTGCAGGGAAGGAAGTGGGAAGCTGATGGCTCAGCTGAGAGGACAGGCCACAGGGGAGACCGACCTCGGGAGAGACCAAGGGAGGTGGGCAGCAGCATCGAGGCTGTATCCTGTGGTCCCCAAGGGTAAGGTGGGAGAGTCTCCAGGCTACCTGCACGGGAACAGCAGGGACTAGATGGGCAGCCCCTCACCCCTAGGGCTCCTTCTGCCCTCAGAGAGCCTCTGATGAGCCTTGAGTAACAGCAGCAGGTGCCTGGTCCACCTGTAACCATCTCTGCTCCACATGGGGAAAGTGTAGCTCAGTGAGGTCACACATTTCATGCCTACAGGGACCCGGGCAGACCTCCTACCATTGCCACTGTCCACATGCCCCCCACTGCATGAACCACACCCCTACCCCAGAGTCCGGGGCCCCAGCCCTTCCCTCCCCGACTCTCATGCCCCTGCTGGGAGGTGGCCATCATTGCTCCCAGCTTGCAGTTGGTATTCAGAGAACAGATGGGGGTGCTACCAGGCATGACAGAACTCTGCTGAGATGCCAAGCAAGAAGTTGCATGTGGAAGTGATCTATGAACTAAAGCCCTGGGCCCACTGTCACTTGGGAGAGCCTGAGGGCCCACCGACACGGAGCAGTCACCAGCACATCTTCCCGGGTGCCTACCTTCCCCGACTTAGTGGAGGAGTTCCGGATGCAGTAGAGTCCATCCTGGGGCTCTCCCCGAGGGCTCGTAGCTTTGAATAGCCTAAAATAAGACAGATGACAGTAAGTCCTCCTCAGGCAGCTCTCACAGGGACCCTCTAGCCCCACTCCCAGAGCTCTGGCCATGCCAGGGTGACGTGGGAGCAGTACAAAGCTGACAGTTTCCCCTGCACTCAGGGCCATGTACTTGTGCCAGCAATTACCCAACACTGCAGCGAGTAAGGGGACAGAGAAGCAGGAAGACAGGGTATAGCAGGGGGCCCAGCAATTCAAGGGCTCTGAGCTGACCTTTCCACTTCGCAGGATTCTGTGGTGTTGACAAAGACTGAGCTGGGCAGCGGCACCTGTAAGAGGCTGACAGTGGTCAGTGTCAAGGTCTGAGTGACCCACCCACACCGCCACTCCCTGACAGCTGCCCCCGCACCAGGATCCAGGGCTGCGCATGGTGTTCCATGTCCCTTGGCTCCAGAGTTCTGGGCTCTTTGCTCAGAATGGGCCACCCTGGCCTACAGCCCCCCACCACTGCCCCCACTCGCTGGCTGGGTGGGATCTGGGCTTGCCTTCTCATAGTCCTCATCTGAGTCCTCCTGGCCCACATCAGCCTGCGAGGGTTGCCGGGGTTTTTCGAAGGAAAAGCTCCTGAAACTCTGCCCATCCGGGGGTGATCGCCTGGATTGGGGGAGAGGAAGGCGAGACCATACCACTGTCAGACACGGGACGGGCCACCCTCTGCTGCCCTCCATGTGACCACGCCAAGCTCAGTATCATAATCCATGGAGTCTGCCTGCTGCAGCCCCAGTGACTGTAAAGGCCGGGGACAAAAGGCCCCAAGGGGCCTGTGCTGACTGCCCTAGGCTAGCCGGACTGGCCCAAGACCTGAAGTCCAAGTCAGGGGTCCTGCCACAGATGCTGGTGAGGAGGGTCCACACTCAGGGGTCATCACATGCTGGACAAGTGCTCTGCAAGCTCTTGGGAAAAGGGGTCTCGGCCCAGGCTCTGCTGCTGACTGGCCTTGCGACCTTGGCCAAATCACACCCCTCTCAGAGCCACAGGCGAGTGGATGAATGTGAATGGGATGGACAACAAGATCTGACCAAAGGGACACCTGCAAGGAGAGCCCTGCACACCTCACACACGTGGCCAGGAGATCCTGCCTAGCCAAACCTCCAGGGCTTCCGGAAGGACTAAAGGTGGCCACACATAGCACAAGCCCATGCTGGGATGGGCGGCTGGCCTGTGGCTAAGGCTGAGCCCTGGACCATGGCCCCTGCACACACGGCTCGGCAGCTCACAGATCCAGGTCACGGGAAAACAACCAACTACCAAGTATCTGCACCTTTATGGCCCCTTGTGAACTAGAACTACAAGTGTAGCAAGGGGTTCTCCCAGGCACTTCCTCATAGGCAGCAGAGGTCTCAGAGATGTTACTAGAACCCTGGGGAGAAGGGCAAAATGGTCAAGGGCATTTGGGGAGCGCCAGGTCAGCATAAACATGAGAAACCTGCCCCTGGGGCTCCTAGGGCCTTCACCTGCCAAGAGAGGCACAAAGCCCACCTCCTGTCCCAGACCCTTTGACCACAGGCACCTGGTGTGGGCAACTGTGGGAGTAGGGGACACACTGCTTTCCTAGCACTTCCCAGCAATAAAGCAGAAAGCATCTCAAGTGGCCTCAGGGCCTAGTCCCGGACATGCTCTGCATTCCCAGTCAGGAAGGGCACAAAGGCAACTTGGGTGGCTCCAGAGCCAGGAGTCGCCCAGAGTCCCAGGCAGCACTGGGAAGAACCTGCACTAAGTCCTTGGTCAGGAAGGCTTGCAGAAGCAGGCGGGCTCAGGGCAGCTCACAGCCTGAGCTCCCAGGATATGTGGTCAGCCCTGCAGGCCCCTCACCTGACCCCAGAGCACCCTCACACTGCACAGCAGTGGCTCTGGGAGGCCTGCATCCCCCAGGCCACACTGACCACTGCCCCCCAGGTGGCCACTGGCTCCAGGCCCACTGCCCACAGGCTGGACGTTTCTCAAGGGCGGGGTTGGACACTACCTGAACCCCTGGGAGTGGCCTGCTGACTGGCTCTCTTGACCAGGTATGGGGATGGCCATTCCACCTAGGCAGGTTGGGGTGATCAGGAAACCTTCCTAGCCCTGTATCAGCCACCCCATCATGGGCTCAGAGTGCCAGGGGCAAGGAGGGACAGGGTGCCAGCGAGGGCTCCCAGTGGCTGGGAGGCAGGGGTGCTGGCTGCAGCACAGACTCACTGGAGGTGGGGCAGCGGCGGCTTCTCTGGCCTGGGTAGCACTGAGGGCCGAGCTGTGGCCTCAGGCATGGGCAGCTTCAGTGCGGGAAGCCTGGGGGCCACAGGAGGGACAAAGAGTCCAGGCTTTGCTGCCTCCCTTGGGGGGTCCTCTTCAGCTGGCTTCAGGAACTTGGGCTTGTTGGCCGGTACAGGTGGGGGCTCAGACATGGGCAGCCCACGGGGGGACAGGTGAAAGGACTTGAGTTTGTCACAGTTCCTGGAGGTGGCAGCAGCCATGGTGGCAGAACTGGAGGCAGAGCTAGCCCCATGGCCAGGGGTCCAGAGCTCCGGGCTGGGGCTAGCACTCTCTCGGAAGCAAGGGGGCTTCCGAAGGCTGGGAGCAGCAGGCACGCTGCCCAGTGGGGGGTCGCTCATCCTTCTGGAGGTAGCAGGCACCCTGAGGGCAGGCTCTGCCCGCCTCAGGCCCAGCGAGTCCCTCTTGGAGTCCTCGGGGACCAGGATGGCATCTGGGAGGCCGTGCTTAGGGGGCACAGGTGGCAGCAGGGGGCTGGGGCCCTTGGAGGTGAAGGAGTGGGCTCGGGGCATGTCGGAGAAGGCTGGCTTCCTCGGCACAGGCACTGGGGGTGGTGGGTAGGCCGGCGGATGGGTGAGGGCGTCTGCAGAGCAAAGAGACCCGTGTTGGAACCACTCGATGGAGGCTGGACCAATTCCACCCCTGTCAGCAGCCAGCCAACCAGGTGCGCAACCCGTCACAGCCCCCTGGGACCCAGACTGCCTACCACCACCTGGCCCTCCCCTCCATCCTCCACACGGCAGTCCACAGAAGCTTCCTGAAGCCTAGACATCACACGAGGAGCCACAGGGTCACCAGAGGTGGAAGTGGAAAAGACGGCAGAGTCAAGAACGCCCAGGCTTGGCCGCACAAGGGGAAGGGAGGAACTCCCGATAACAGAGGGGAGGGGAGGGGGTGGGGAGGAAGATGAACATCTGTGTTTGTTCATAACAAGTTTAAAATACTGTGAGATGCCCAGAGGACGCCACGTGGACTGTCAGGGGTGTGAGTCCAGGGTTTAGAGGTCCCGGCTGGATGTGTGAGTCAGTTGGCAGCTGGTAGATGACCCCAGCTGTTAGCCAGGGAGTGCGAGAGAGGAGGCCTGAGTTCCGGGACGGCCCTGGTCCTGGGGTGGGCGTCCCTCAGGGGGCCAGCAGAGGGGTGGAGGAGGCGGGGGCCCAGGGTGCCTGGAGCGGGTGGGTGAGGAGCGGATGGGCACCAGGCCAGGGGCAGCTCGGGTGCTGTGCTTGGGATTTGGGAGTGGGAAGGCCACTGGGGCCCTGGATGAGAGACGTTTAGGGGAAGGGATGGGAAGGCTGGACTACAGGGGTCCAGAGGGAGGGTGGAGCTCACCAGGGCCGGGTGGGCCAAGCTCAGGTGTGAGGTGGGAACCTGTGCAGGCCACGGGCAGGGGCAGATGTGGCGGTCACTGGCAAGACAGGGCTCTGCATGAGAGGGAAACTGAGGCAAATGGCCCACATGTCCTGGTGGGCTGTTGGCACTGGGGCCCCAGATGGAGGGAGCAGCAGCGGAGGAGGGGCTGGACACGCGGCCTGCAACTAGGAGGGGACAGGTAGTAGAGAGCAGGACATGGGGTGGGGGCTAAGGTGGGAAGAGGCCAGGTCAGTGGGGACAGGAGGCCGAGGACCGGGAGGCCGGGAGGAGGATGAAGGGAAGCCTGACAGCAGATCATCTAAGACACAGTGAAACGGACAACATGCGAAGACTGGAGAGATGGGGACAGGGAGGAGACAGGGGGACAGCTACATAGCCTCCTCGCCTAGCCCTGCACTCTCCTATCACCCTGTGTGACTGCCATGTTACAGGAACTGGGGCAGACACTAGGGCCTTGATGGCAGCCTGGGCTGCGGCTGTCTCCATGGAGAGGTGGTGGCCAAGGGACAAGGACTGGCCCTGGACCCACCCACTCCTCAATACCCTTCCTTCCCCACTCTCAGCCCCAGGGCCACCCTGGCTCCACCTGCCACTATCTCCACACTCCTCCCTCTCCATACTGGGGGTCGGGGAGCAGATGAGCAGAGCCTGCCAGTGCCTGCCTCTTCTGCTCCATCTGTCTAATACCCAGGCCACAGCAGGGAAACTGAGGCCACCCAGACAGTAATTGGGTGGGCTCCCCCAACCTGGGAGAGGCTCTCCACCTACCAAGAGCTCCCGGGTCCCCACCCACCTACCCTCAGGCTTCATGGGCTCAGGGGAGTCGGGCTCCATGTACGAGTCATCCTCATCGTCGTGCTCATAGTCTGCATGGGAGAGACAGAGGGTGAGACTCAAGGTAGCCCAGGCCCAGCTGCACGCAGGGTGGGATAGCAGGCTGGGCTGTGGAACAATGCTCCAATCATGGGGCTAAGGGTCTGGGAGGCACAGGCCAAAGACGAGGCGGGCAGGATGTGAACCCAAAACCAAGCTGCCAGACGCCAGAGGCTGGAGAAGCCACCATCACTCTACCAAAGGGACAGAGCAAAGGCACAGCTAAACATGCCTCCCTCTCCTCTGCAGCAGCCCACGAGGAAAACTGGGCCCGTCACTGTCGGCAGCCTGGTGTGGAGAGGTGGAGAAGCAGTGGACGTGGAGAAAGGCCTCACCTTCGTTGTCCGTGGGGTATGGAGAGAGGCTGACATCCACAGGCCGCTCGACTGCGCCATAGAAGCTGTCTGTGTCGGAGCTGGAGTCACTGCAATGCAGGGAGCAGGCAGGGGGCAGGCAGTGAGCACCAAGCCTGGGAGGTCCCTTGGCACTGACACACTGATACATGTACACACACATGTCTACTCTGACACACAGATGTGTACGTGCACACAGACACACACGGTGACAAACACAGATGTGGACACAGACATGGACACAGACACATAAACACAGAAACACAAGGATACACAGTCATACAGACACACATAGACATACAAATACACAGATAAAATACAGAGACAAGGACAAGCACACACATGAACACAGACATACACAGAACAACAAACGGACACACACACACTGTTACAAGGACAGACACGGGGACTGGAGGCTGTGGTGCCTCCACCGGGTGCCTCCTTCCCTCCTGGCTGTGGTTCTGGCCTCAAGTGTGGCCCTGGACCGGCCAGAAGCCTCAGGGCCGGGCCCACATCTCTACCTGCTCCTGCCTGAAGGGGTTTAGTCAACACTGGGCTGGCCTGTGGGACCCCGGCTGGAACCGAGGGCCAGGAGCTCTAGGGCTGAGGCAGGGCCCTGCAGGGCAGCTTTAGGTGCGCCCAGCCCTCTCTGGGCCTCAGGCTCCTCATCTATGGAACAACAGGATAGTTTGTTCCTGTCCAAATGGTCTCCGGGACGGACAGTTCCAGCCCAGAGAGCCCTGCTGCTTGCTGGGCTACCTCACGGATGAGGTTGCTGAGACACGGATCGACTGAGCCGGCTTCCTAGGAGATTTCGGCCTCACCCTGGAGCAAGCCCGGTGGACATCAGGGGCAGGGGAAGCCAAAACTCTGAGCTGCTGCAAATGCTGGGCCTCCTGGGTGAGGGAGGTAAAGACATGTGACCCCCAAACAGGAACTACCAATCCCAGTGACAGAAACAGACAGTGAGGCGGAGCTGGAGAGGACAGACGGGAGCAGAGAAGGATGGTGCACACGCAAACCTCACACACACGTCTCACACACGCAGCATGCCTGGCACCTCCAAACAACTCTAAGGAGGGGGATCTGGGCCAAGCCCCAGGGGCTGGGAGGGGGATACCTGTGTCAAGCCCAGGAGCTCTAGGGACAACTCCCCCCACCCCGCCCCATCCACCACACCCCAGGGCCCACCTGGTATCCAGGGACAGCTCCTTCTTCTCGTGGAAGTGGCCGATCTCCCTGCGCAGCAAGGCCATCCAGCTCTGTGGGACAGCAGGGGCAGCAGTGGACATGGTGCTGCTGGGGTGGCCCCCCTCATGCCTCCCCCCTCGCTGCCCCAGCTACTCTGCAGCGACCGCCAAGGCTGGGGACGCCGACTGGGTCAGCTCAGGTGGTATGACTCAGCACAGCCTGGCCCTCCTGGGGCTACAGCTCCACCTGAATCACTCAGGGCCTCCCAGGTCAGCACATTCTGTGTGGCACTGGCCCCAGGCCCTGGGCATGGGGATGGGAGCTGCAGGCCAGCACCCACCCAGCTGCCCACGCGCAGCCACGTCTCCCCACCCCCACTCACCTTGCGCTCATCCTCAGAGGAGGCTGAGAAGAACCACGTGCGGTGCTTCTTGCTGATGTGGACAATCTTGAAGGGAAACACATTGTTGGATGTCGTCTCCTCAGCAGCCCGCATCACCCTGAAGGCACAGCAGCAGCGGTCAGCACCTGGTCCACAGCCGTAGGGATAGCCTCACTTGGTCCCCTGCCTGGACGGGTCTGGGTATACAGCACCATGCCCCAAGGAACATGGCACATCTGGATGGTCCCTGCTTACATGTCCCGGGTGGAGGGCCTCATGCCCAGGCAGATGGGAGAGTGTGGGTGTGCGCAGGGAGCTGACAGAGGGGTGCTGGGCTCTGGGAGGGACTCCTGGGAGCAGCAAGGCATGGGAGATGAGGACACATCACCCTCAATGCCCACCAGTGCCACTTTACTATGGATACCACCCTCCCACCTCTGGCCTCACCTGGCACCTGGCCTGCCTATGGGGGGCCCCCCTGGGGGTCTGGGCCCTTACTATGCAGCAGCAGCCCTACGTGCATTTCAGGAAATGACTTGTGACTGCTCTGTGGCCTGCTCATCCGGCCAGGATGTGGGGTTTGCACAGAGACCACAAAGTTTACCATGGAGGGATCGCTGCCTGCCCAGCACCTAGGCAGGTATGCCCAGCCCAGGCCCAGCTGGCCCTGATGGGCTGGACAATTATCCAGGGCACAGCTGCATCTGCCACTGGGCCCAGTGCTCACGCCATGGCTGGCACACGCTGGAGGCTGGAGGGCAATGTCTGGGGAAATGAACAACCCTTCCCAAGGGACTCCAGAGCTTTGATCCACCAGCGCCTGCCTGCCACCCACAGGGCCCTCAGGACTCCTTCCTGCCTTGGCCAGTGCTCTGGGCTGGTTGGGAGTTTTGGCAAGGTTGCCCTACTAAAGCTGTGGCCAGAGTGCAAGTCAGGTTCCAAAGTACGTGCAAGGGTCCCAGTCCCACTGCCAATACCATGTGACCCTTGGTTCCTCACAGGGAGGAGGTGCTGGGCCCGTAAGGGGTATAAGAGACACAGACTAATGCTGCGGGGTGCAGGGTCCAGGTGGTACAACCCCTAGAACGATAGCCAGGAGCCAGCACTTAAACCCTGCTCCATGGGCCCCAAGCCATGGGGCAGACCCCATGTACCAGCATGCCCCATCCCATCCAGAGGGCTCGGGCCACTGCCCACCTGCCATTAGTCCAGAAGGTCTTAAGGGCAGACTCATAGCCCCTCACTGGATGGAGGGCAGCTAATGGCACGGGTGAAGCAGGGAATGGGTCCCCATCCTGGGAGGTCCCTGGAGCCAGAGGCAGGGCCGAGTTTAGGACAGGGCCTAGGTTGGCTGGGCTCTTGGTTCCCTGGAAAGAGGCCACGGTGGGTGAAGGGGCAAGGCAGGAAGGGAGGAGGGACACAGAAGTCACTAGGCTATAGCTGAGTGGAGACTCCAGAGAGTAGGTCCTCAGGACTTGTCCATGAAGCCACAGGAAGCCCCCAGCCTTACCCCCAGGTCCTCAGCAAAAGCCTGAGGGCAGAATATGAGGAGAGGGAGAGGCATCATGGAGGTTGGGCCAGTGGCATAGCAGAAGCCACACACAGCCCGGGGATGGGGGACAAAGGCCATCTCGAAAAGCCTGGACTGTCCTTGGGTGAGATTGAGGGGTGGGCCCAGCCAGAGCTGTCAGGGCAGGCTGACAGGACAGCAGGCTGGCCGTGGGGCCAGGTCAGCAGGCAGGACCGGCACTCACCGGTTATAGCCACTCAGTGAGAAGGCGCCCTGTGGGGAGGCCGACGTGCTGCTCTTGAAGTAGTAGATGCATCGCTTGTGGATGATGACAAAGCGCAGGGGCCCTGCAGGAGCGTGACAAGGCAGGGTTAAGCTGCCAGGGACCAGCAGGCAGATCCCATTCTAAGGACCCTCCCCAGAGGCCCTGGGCAACTTGGGGCCAGGCCTCCTGCCTATGAACCCTGCTGAACGGAAGAACAGGGGCTGGGCTGGCTGCCCCTCCCCAGGAATCCACTCTGGGTCCAAATACGGACAAGTTCACGGGCATGCTGGCCAACCCCAGAGTACCACTCCAGGGCAGGCCTGGCCACCCACAAGTTTGGGGGGCTGTGTGGAGGAAGGACAGAGCCAGAGCCAGGGCCAGAGCCCACAGAAGCCACAGCTGTCTTACTGGATGCCATGGGGAGCTGGGGACTCCCTGCACCCCAGGGCTAGAGAGGGGGGCTAAGGAGCCCAGAGAGCTTGCCAATGAGAGCCACTGATATAGAGCCCCCTCTAGGTGGAGAGTTACACTGAGAGCCCCACACTCTACTGCTCAGCCCCAAGCAGCCCCTCCAGGTCCTGTGGGCAGGTCAGTGACAACTTTCCATGGAGGCTCCCAGTACAGAGAGACCAGCCCACCCAGTGCCCACACAGAAACTGAACACCTCAACCAGGAGACCCAGGAAGTCCCTGGCAGACAGCACTGCTAGGGCAAAGGCAGGGAGCACCTGCTGCCCAGGCCCTGATGCTCTTTGGCCATCAGTGTCTCCACACTTGGGCATCTCTCAGGCCTGGGAGCTCTCCCTTTCTCCCAGACTGCTGTCCTGGGGGCCAGAGCCCAGGTCTCGCACAGCCCCAGAGCTCCAGCGCTCAGCCAGGTCTCAACTTGTCATATGGGTTCACTGTGGGCCGAGAGACCAAGCAACTCTCTGAACACCCACAGATGAGGCGACAGCCACACCAAGGGCCAGACCTAGCAGGCCACCCAAGTACCCTGGTCCTGGCTGCAGGCTGAAGATCCTGTGGCCAGCTGGCCAGCACCTTGCACTAAATGCCTTTCCTGTCTCTTTGCCAGCTGCACCACCTGGACTCTGCCAGTCCTGGGGGCTGGGGAGGCCGATCTCAAGTTCCCCCTGGGGGGCGAGCTGCCAGAGAGGGAAAGGAAAATGCAGAGGCCCACCGTGTGAGGAAGGAGAGGCTCAGATAGGATGCTCATTTGCCCAAGGAGCAATCAGGGCTCAGCTCTGCCCCGTATCCTCCCATTGTGCCCCCCCGCTACCCAGGGGACTCACATTTGAGCAGCTGCAGCTGGGTACCACCCTTCTTGTGCAGGTATCCAGCCTTGGCCACACCCCCAGGCATGGTTAGCAGATTCTGGGCACCAATCGCCTTCATGGGGACAGGCCAGTGCATCTCCTCAGCCGCCATGAAGCTGTGATAAAAGAGGGACATGGCTCAGCTAGGGCTGGGGGACAGGAGATGGCTTAGCTGGGGCACTTAGGGGAACACTGCCAAGATCCAGGAGACAGCATGGAGGGTAAGGCAATGAAGGACGAGGAAACCCGTTTGCTAAAGGCCTCAGGCTTCCAAGTGGGCCCCCGGGAAGACAGGGCCACTTGATCCACTCAGTCAGCCCCTGATCCACGAAGCCACACACCTGGCCTTCATGGAGCCTGAGGGCTAAGCATGTCCTTTATCCTCCCTGGTTCACTCAGCACATACCTACTGAGCGCAAGGCCCCATCTGGGCTGAGGTGCAGGGATGAATGAACCCAGGAACACAGCCCAGTAAGACAGGCCTTAGGCCATAACCACCCCAAGCCCCAGGGTCAGGTGAGCCTATAACAGAGTCTGCCCTAGACAGGAAGCAAGCAAATAGGTAGGCAAGAGCCTCCAGTTTCCTGGTCAAACAACCTGGGCTCATCTGGCTTGGCTTTCTGGACGATCCCTAGGCCTTAGCTGCTGGAGGACAGAGTGGATCCAGCACGGCACAAAGCACACCCTCCTCAGCAGAGACTGGGACCACCATTTGGTGGATGAGCTGGTGTCCACCCCATCTGCCTGGGGCATCACTCACCTATCCCGCCTGAGCCCCAGCGGGGACCACACAGCCCATGGTCACTGTGACTGCCTTGGGGCTGACCCAAGCCCATAGGATGCAACATCCCAGGCCCTGGCATCAGGCTCTGCCCCCTACTCATGCTCCAGCTGTCCGTCTTGAAATGGGCCAGGCTGTTTCACACGTCCAACGACGTCTGGAATGACCTCCACCTCTCCCCAGGCAGAGAACCCCTACTCATCCTTCAAGACCCACATTAAGAATTCCCTCTTCCGTGAGGCACTCCAAGTGCCCAGTTACACTGTCCACCACCTGTGGTCCCTTTAAACGGTACCCCCACCACCACCACCCCCCACACACACACACTGCACTGTTTTGTCTGTACCTGCCCCACCCTGAGCAGGTCCTGCCTGGGACCCTAGGGGAGTTGGATGGCAGCAGGCATGGGAACAGCTAGGATCAGACCCAGAGGACCAGTCCGGCTGGGACTTGTCCCTCTACAGCTCCAACCCCAAAACACATGTAAGGAAAACCACTCCCTGCTCTTAGCAAACCATTAGCGCCCATGAAATGTCCAAGAGGGAGGTCACCGCCTCCAAAGACCCAGGCTGTCTTCTGCCTACTCTACCTGGGTCACTCCCCAGCGGCCCATCTGCACATAAATCCAACCCTCCTGGGAGGGCCTCCCGGTACAGGGTGCCCAACAATAGGGCTTGGAACAAAGGCACGGACACACCCCTGCCTGCGCCTGCCCACCGGGCCCAGCCCCCGACGGAGCCCCGCAGTGGGGAGGAGAGGGTGCCGGGTGCCCACGCCCAGACACTGAGAGGTGCTGGCAGAGGGACGAGCCACGCGCCCGGCCAGGAGCCCCAAGACCCGCCCGCCTTTGTTCCCGCAGGAAGCGCGCGGCCATCGCCCAGGGTTCCCGGTCCGGGTCCGGGGTCGCGGTCCAGTGGTTTACAGACTGGGTCTGAGCCCGGGACTGAGGCCGGGGTCCGGGCGGTACTCACGGCGTCCACGCCGGCTTCCCGGGGACGGCCCGCGCCCGCTTCCCCTGGGCGCACCGACACAGCCCCGGGCCCGCTCCTCTGGCCGCCGCCTCGTCCCCTGCGCCCACCTCCCGCCAGCTCCAGCAGCGTGGTCGAGACCCGGAGCCCGCCATGCCCGCCGCGCCCAGCGCCCCAGGCCCGGCCGGGCCGCCGGCTCCGCCCCTCGTAGGCGGGGACCGGCAGGTGAGGACTCCCGGGCCCGCCCCCGCCGCGCGTCAGCCTGCGCCAGGCGCCCCCTCCGCGCCTCAGTGTTCCCACCTGCTACACCAAGGGTGGTGGAGGGCGCTGGGGACAGGAAGCTGCCGATTATCAGTGCAGCCTGGAATCAAGAAGTCTTCAATGCAGAGGAGGGTCCAGGCGTCACCCCCCAACACCTGTGAGTCCAGGTCTCGATCCCACCAGCCACCCTTCAGGGAGCTGCCACAGAAAAGTTGTTTTTCCACCGAGTTTCAGTATGTACCTCTATAAAACGGCACCCTGCCTCTGAGGGCTGTGTGGGGTCGACAGAGGTCTGGCTGGCCCAATGCCCCCACCTCTTGCCCACCCGCTCCTACTCCCCTTTGCCTGTGTGACTCAGTGCGCCTCCAACTCGGGATTCTCCAAGGAGCAGGGAGTCCGGTCCTGGCAGCTCCCACCTGCTTGCCCATGTGCAGGCACCTCTCCCAGAAGAGTCCCCCAGGCTGGCCAAAGGCTGGTAAAGGCCCTTGCTGGCCTCCCAGGCAACTGCCTCCTCCATCTCCCACCTGCGTATTGGCTACTACTGAGATGAGCCACCTGCAGCAGAAGGCAGCAGGAACCCCCATGGGCCCTAAGGTGATAGTGCTAACGGTCCACATCTAGCTGTCACTACTGGGCACCCAGCCCTGTGCTTCAAGTCCTCCTCCATCTCAGGCCAGCTCTCTGAGACTCTTTCGGCGTCCAGCCTTCAAACCTCACTGCAGCCTCCATCCCACCTTTGTGCCTTTGTCCCCAGCGTACTTGCCCTCCCTCCACTGCACTGTACCCAGCCCTCCTCCTTCCAGCCACCCTGCCTGTCCTCCTCTCCAATGCTTCTTGGCAGCCCCACCATCTCTCCTCCTCAGGTCTCCCCTGCCTCCAGGGTCTTTCTTCCAGGACACCCGCAACATGCACACCATTCCCATCACTGCTCTGTGCAGAGCCTCTGGGGCCACCTCATGCCCTCCTGACCCTTCCTGATGCAGCCCCTATGGATCCTTCTCACACCCTCTCCTCCTACCCTCCACCTTCTGTGCACCTGTGCCAGCCAGAAGTCCGTGCTGTGTCACCTGCCTACAGCTGCGACTGAACTAACTCAGCCTTCAAGAGTTGGTTTGAAAGAATACCAATCCTTCACAAACTCCTCCAGAAAACAAAAGATGAGGGAACTCATTCTGTGAGGCCAGCATTATCCCAATACCAAAACCAGACAAAGACCTCACAGGAAAAGAAAAATACCAATATCCCTTATGGATATAGACATAAACATCCTCAACAAAATACTAACAAACCAAATCTGAATCCAGCAACATATAAAAAGGATTCTACACCAAGACCAAGTGGGATTTATCCAGGAATGCAAGGTTGGTCTAATATTCAACTCAACTAATGTAAAACACCATATCGTGAGCCATCACACCTGTAATCCCAGAACTTTCGGAGGCTGAGGCGGGAGGACTGCTTGAGGCCAGGAGTTTGAGACCAGCCTGAGGAAGAACAAGACCCCATCTCTATAAAAAATAGAAAATTAGGGCCGGGCGCGGTGGCTCACGCCTGTAATCCTAGCTCTCTGGGAGGCCGAGGCGGGCGGATTGTTTGTGCTCAGGAGTTCGAAACCAGC